AAGAGAAGAAAATACAGAAATATAGAAGAAATAAAAGGCATCAACAAAGTTTTACAGAACAGGAATTTTAGAGCCAGATAAATTTCAAATAAATATAGATATGACAAGTAAACATGTATTATGTGATATAACTCTCAAAAAGTCTGGACCATCTAAAAGATATTTGTTAACACAAAATAGAAATTAAAAACAGAAAGGAAAAAAGACTTGAAAATCTAAGGAGAGGGGACAAATGCAGCGTCTGCAACTAACCACAAACCTTTTTGGACCAAAATATTCTAAGACCGATTAACACAAAGCGGGCATCAACTATTAACCTCTTAAGGTTAAAAGAAGTAGAATTACCTCCCTGATTGAATTCAGGTAAAGTTAAAAAGTTATGAAGTTTCTATTTATGTAACAAAAAAGCAATACAATTTTTTTAAGTGTAAGAATAATTGTAAAAATCACCATGTTTGAGTTATAGGTGATTAAAGAACTAAAATCTAATTTTTTAAGCTTTACCTAATTTGTTTCCAAATTGAACATTGCAAAATACAATGAACATCGCTTTAACACTTTGGATGAAGCCTCAGATTATATTGGCCCACATCTTGAAATAACTGCAAGAAATCTGGTGGGAACATATTTTATCCACAAAGATCTCAATGGGCAGTGTGCCAGGATGACTTGTGATTTTGGCAAAGTTTGGCACAACTGTCAAAATGTAACAGATATAATGGAAACAGCGTAATATCAACAAAATGAAGAGAAAATTAGTTGAACTGTGTCCTTTTGTCTTTTTATTGGAATAAGACTATATATTAAGAAAATCAAATTAGCAAAACACAGTAATCAATAAAAAAAAATCAAATATTTGAAATACATACATACTTTGTAACCCAATATCAATATATAGTTTTAGAACACTATAAAAAACAAAATGACAAAACCAGACCTTTAGATAAAACTGGAAAAAAAATAAGAAAAATGCAACCCAGTTAAAAAACAGTTGTCACAGTCTTGGTTCTGCTATGTTTTCTTTTGAGTCCTCAGTTTTACTTTGCTCCATGTTTTCTAGTTTTCGAGGTTTAATTCTTATTTTGTTGTTTTCTCTGGTTATTTTTCAGTTTTCAGGTTTTTATTTGTTGCCCTCTGCTGCCCCCTTGTGTTCTCCTTTTCCCTAGCTCCTTTCCTGTTCTGCTCTGCTCACACCTGCTCCCAATCTGCTCGTTAGTCCTCTCTTTGTTTCAGTCTCCCATAAATACACACTCTGTTCAGTTCCTCACTGTTGGTTCCTTGTCAAATTTCCTCCAACTCCGTCTCTCTGAGCCTCCTCGTGATAGTAATCCAGTAATGTTGGATTTATTACTGGATTTTTGGATTCCTGCCTCAGTTGTTTGAAAACACTTCATTAAATCATCAAGAAACCCACCTCTGGCTCCCTGTCTCTGCATTTGGGTCCTCAAACCCCAACCAAATCGTGCAACAGTGTATTGGAAAAGTGTAACAATAGCGCTCCATGAAATGCTCTTCAGGTCATCCAGCCTACAGTAAAGGCAAAGCGTGTATTGTGCAGCAGGTGCAGTGGAAGCGGGAAGAGGGGGAGAACCAACTTCTTTTATTACATCATTATAGATTAATACCACCGGCACTCAAAAAATAACGTAGTAAAGTAGCATAAAATGATTGTTATTCGGATTTAGAAAATTTGGGGCCCTAAGCAAAGTCAGTCAGGGGGCCCTCTGAATTGAGAAGACAACACATAAAACAGACCCATTATACAGATACAGACATTTTAATAGAATAGACATACATAATTTGATCTACGTTTTGTCCCTCTCTTCTTGTCCCTTTTCTTCTTGTTTTCCTCTCTATGTTTTGTACTCAGCTGACTTTTCATGCTGTCTAAAAAGGTGTGAAAGATTTTTTCAAGCACTAAGCTCACTTAGCTGATTTTGCCTTCCTGTGTTTCCAAAAAGGCAACAGCAAATTAAATAACACAGTCCTTATTTTCAACGTAGACAAGCCATGATCTGCTTATCTTTTCTCCATTTTTTATTTGTATCAAATAATAGGTGCATCAACCATGACACGATAGGTAGATGAGAGAAAAGTCTCCAGTAGCAGACAAAAGTTGCTACATTTTTGCTAAGCCAAATTTAGCAACTTTTTTTTAGCAACTTTAGCAACTTATTTATACCCCAACACATGGCAGATTTCCACATGATGGTGAGCCGTTTAAACACGACACCAATAGCAAAGCAGACACTGGTACTTTTAATTACTATGTTAATAACTATGTATAGTTCATTAGATGTTTGGTAAAAAATACACTCATATAATATGTTTCAAACCGCTATAATGATCTTAAAAGAACGATCTATCTGAGTATTTTATTCTTTAAAGTACGACTTGGAATTATGGGTAATCCAGAGTGTAGATTAAAACCATAGGGGTGTTGTACTTCATATGGGGCCCACCCAGATAATGTTGCTTACGGGCCTGTTGTTGTCGTTACGCCATTGACCCAAAGCCATTAATTATGGCGATGCTGATTGGCCAAATATTTATTAATTTTCCCTAGCAACATTACACAATTGGTCATTTCACTACATTTCAGGGGCGCTTTGAATGAGCGCCCAAACAGAGAAATGTGTCGGTGGAAATATACTGTTGAATTACAGTCAACTGGTAGAAGTGTTGTTTTAATAATTCATATTACATGTAGCCACATACTATTCAGTAAAACTGACATTGATAATACTTTTAAAATCTATATATATTATATATTATTTATGACTTTTACCCTCCACATCCAGGGAGGGCGGAGCCTGAGCGCCCCCTATGGGCCAGCCGCCACTGCCTCCATCTAATCTTTGTATCCTAACTTTTATTTTTGGCAGTCATATTAGTTAAGAGCTCAGCACCATATGCTAATGCTCCTTTGCTACAGGGATAGAGGGCAGGTTGGCGTGTTGATCCGCACATTAAATTTAGTCCCAGTGGATGAAAGTTAGGACTAAAGAGGAAATGTTTTACTGGTGTTGGAGATGGGGGATTATTTTGCTCCAAAGATCTGAATGGGTGTGTTTGCATGGGTGGCATCGCAATTGCGATCAGAAAAATACAACTCTCGCATTCAGAATGAAATTTATTTTCAAATACAGATTTATTGTGCGGCAGAAAACCTTAGAAAGTTGCCAACTCGATCCTTTGCCTTATTAAATTCAAGCTTCAAATGAACTCACGTTTAGAGGAGGATGAAACTATATTATTACAGAAAAACGTGCTTTGTTTGGCTAATTGTAGGTTGTAGATGTGGTCAATGACGAGGAAGAGATAGAAGATTCTGAAGATGAGGTAGAGGTTGTAGATGTGGTAGTAAGTGAGGAGGAAGACATAGAGGATTCTGATGAGGATGAGAATGTTGGGTCTTTTTCTAGTGAGTCTCTTGATGTGTCTAGTGACTTCTCTGGGTATGATACAGTGAGCTCTGAGGAAGAAGACAGTGAAGAAGACCCCCTTCCACCACAACTTCAGTTCACCGAGACGGTTTCCCCGGAGGGCGAAGAGGACTTCCAAATTGGACGGCCCAGCATTTTATCCGGGAGGAGGAGGAGAAGAGAGGAAGATTATGAAGAGGGGCCCCTTGCCAAGATTTTTCGTCGGGATCTGTGAGAAGAGGAATTTCATCAAGAATCTTCCTTTAACTCCTTCAACAACGTCTCACAAGAGAAGCTGAGGCTTAAGCAGAAGAACCAGAAATTTGACCATCTTTCTTTGGATCATCTTGCAGGAGGAGTTAGATGTATTTTCTTGATTTGATGATGATTGGAGGTCGAAACAGTCGTATCTAGATATAATTTATTGATTGTGTTTATATCTGGCAGGTCTAGGGATGCCTTAGGTAGCGTCTTGCGCCATGGCTTTTCTTTACCCCGCTGCTAGATTTTAATTTAAGTTTTAAATGTTACAAAATTTCCTTTAGCACAGAAATCTGAGCAGAGACTAGAGACGTACTAACAGTTTATAAAAGTTGTGAAACATGAGAGCTGGTTAAGGCAGAAATAATCTACCATGCTCTTTGTCTAATGACAGAGCTGGACAATCTCCTAGCTAACAGTAGCCAAACCAAACAATCCAAGGATTGATTTAAAAACAAGGTTTGACAAAAAGAAACACAGAATGGAGGCAAATCAACAAAAACTAAATAAAAACACAAAAAATTAAATCCTGGAGGCAAACCAAACCAAACCAAACCGAGGCAACAGCTGGACATCGCTGCTGGGGATGCATCGAAACCTTTAAGAAGTGAGACATCGCTGCTGAGGACTAAAACTCGGAGGTCTAACTAAGATCCTAAAGGTCCAAAAGTGGAGATGAGGAAAACGTAAAGTGTAGAGGCAGAGGGACAAGGCTGTAGTGGAGACTGATTAGAAGCTCTTTAGAGCAGAGCTCTCTAACTCCAGTCCTCTGCAGCAGTGTTTCTGCAGCTTTCAGGTGCATCTCTCCTCCAAAAGACCAGGATCAAACAACTCTGCAGAGCTGAATGACTGATGAGGAAATTCAGACATTTGATTCAGGTCTGATGGAGAAGAGATGTGACTAAAAGCTGCAGCATAGCAGCTCTGGAGGAGGGGAGCTGGAAAGACCGGATCTATAGAAGGACAATGCTGCTGGAGACAAACTGGATCTAGAATAGAACAGTGGCAAACATTGCGGCGGTCACCAGTTGCACTGGTCTCTGGGATGATGGTGAGAAGGTAAAGACGATGCTTGAAGGGACTAATTGATTTCAGAGCAGTTTGAAGCAGAGGACAGGACTGATTTAGGGATGTGGATTGTGAATGGCGCCGACTGTTAGAACCCGCTTTCAGCTGTGAGTTGATCTAGTTCTAGATGTTCCTCAGTTAGTTTTCAGGCTTAGTTTAAGGGAAAGAACCCTGTCCAGAAATACTCTCCCTATGATCTAGGCCAGTTCTGACCACAGTGAATCTCCTCTGTGTTTTTTGAATCCCATGTCGGACCGAGCCGCTACAAGCTTTGGGCCGTCAGAAGATGCTGATAAGATCTACGGCGACCAAACCAGAGGAGCAGGAAACAGTGAGAGCATGTTCAGTAAGGAGCCACAATAATCCATCATTTAAACATAAAGTCAACATTTCAGGTGGCCTCACTTACGGTTTCATGTATTTTCAGGAACTGATGACGTCCAAAATCAGAACCACTGTGAGGAACCGGGACATCCAGGATGCTGAGGAGCCTCCCAGTCCCCACCTGAGGACGGCACAGAGGAAAACACGTGCAGTAAGCCTTTATTAACACGACAAACAGACAACTCAAGCTTCCCAGGCAGAACACAGAGAGAACAAGATGACTATTTCAACAACATCCTGCTCCAGATTTAAACTTGGTGTTAAGGAAATTCTATAGATTAATTTAGCTTCTTTTTTACAGGGAAAGAAGGTCCAGTATGGAAGCAGTGTTCTAGCAGTCGGATCTCCAGACTCCATCCAAACGTATTTGGAGGTATGTTGGTTGTTTAAATAGAGCGGAATCACATGCAGACAGTTTATGACTCTTAGGAAGCTTTGCTTTCATTTATGAAGGAGTTGAAGCAGAGGATGGAGAACACAGACCACCGAGGATGAGAAACATGGCTCCCCTGCTCGTCTCTCCAACATTCTGGAGTCCTGGAATGAAAAACATCGACGACCCTGCAGCTAAACCATCAGTCTGCTCCACCCACAAAGAAGGTAAAGAACCTTAATGCCTCCAAAAGGAACCAAGAATGGGGAAGAAAAAAAAAAAAAAACCAAAAAAAAAAAAATCAAAAACCAAAAACAACCAAACAAAGGGGGCCAAACCTTAAACCCTAACTTTCCATCATGAAGGGATGTTCACCTCAATTTATATCTCTATAACCAAAACTTTACCAGAACCAGAAGTTCTGACTTTTCCATTAGACCACAGATAAGAACAGTTCAGAAGCAGATTCTGATCCAATATGGGAGAATTTCCCCCCGGTTGATCTCTGAAGGGTTTTTAGAACCTATTAAAGCAAAGAAAAGACCCTGATGAAACCGACTGTAGACTCCAACAAATGCAGCATTTTCAGGCATTTTCTCCAAGCATCCATTGTCTACAGTTATCACTGCTGTTAGCTTTAGCTTCTCCCTGTGTGTTTTCCTCTTCTCTTGGTTAAATTGACACCTCTCTCGCTGTTTCTGTGTTTAAATGTCACAGACTAGTGTCTTCTCTCACTAACTCCTGTTCTTCTCTTCCCTTCTCTTCCAGCGGATTCCTCCGTCGTCTCCTCGTTGGACCGGCACCTCTTGGACGTCTGCTGTCCTGTTAAAGACTCGCTCTGCCGCAGTAGATGGGCGCTGACATGGAGCCAGGTTCTGCTAGAGGATCCTTCCTGCTTAAAGCTAGTTTTCCTCTCTACTGTCACCACTACATTCCTCAGAAGGAGGAAATGCTAGAAAATTAATGACTTGCTGCGTTTGGCTGAGCTTTCTGGGATTTAAGACATTTCTCTAAATGCCAAAATAGATTTAATTTATCTTTACCATATTGTAAAAATGATCTAATTGGATGTCTATGATTGATTTCATTCTGTGTTTGTGTTGAATTCTGTTAAATGTTTCTGCTTTAAAGCTCTCGTGTAAATTGCCTTGAGATGGCCTGTTTTTATTTCACTAGACTAAATTATATTAAATCCTACCTACTGGGTCTGGTTCTACCTTCTATCCTTCCTTTTATTCTATATTCACCTGTTATTTCTTACTATAATAAAGCTTTGATTCAAGTCATGTGAAGAGGATCTGTTGGTCTTTTTTAGTAAATGTTGAAATAAGTGTTTTTAAATTGGTACTTTATAAATAAACCAAACTAAAGTCAACAGGAGCAAGAGTTCTAATATAACTATATGTGAGGTAATATGGTCAAGGATCAGCAAGGTAAACAAAACAAACAGCATCAGCCTCCGGTTCCAGATTCCTCTGAGGATTTTTATTCCGCTTTTTTCACTCTGACAACCATCTCCCTGAGCTTCCAACATCTCAGTGCCTGAATAACCAAATGGCAACACACCTGCACTTGAGTGGACCTAGCCAACATTTAAACAGGTAGAAAACAAACAAAGTCTAAACAGAGAAACAAGAATAAAATGATTAATTTACAAACTCATCTACATAATGAAACAGTCTGCAAAATAAATAATGTGATAGAAGATAACTCAAAAATTTACTTCAAAGAAAAACAAAGAATTACTCCAAAGAAAATCCCTCTAAATGGAAGAACCCAGCAAGGNCAAAGAAAATCCCTCTAAATGGAAGAACCCAGCAAGGCACTCAGGGGAAATTCATGCATTTTATACTGTAAAAAAATAAATATTCCAACAAAGTAGTTTCATAAATACAGTTGCAATTGTAAAATGGTATTCTGTTGTAATGGTGGTTCTTCTACTCCTCTGTAGAAACAGAAATAGCTTTCTGGTGTTTTTTTAGACTGCTGAATGTTGTTTAAAATAAGGTTTAAAAAAAAAAATGCTGAATGTTGGAACTATAAATCATTACCAGTCTGAAGTTTACATTTTATCACTGCTGCACCTTAAAAATGGAAATATCTGGAGAGCTGTAATGAACAAAATGTATTTTTGTATACACTAGAAAATGACTATATAGTCTGTCCAAGTATGGGATGATGCAATAGCTTCCTCTAAATTGGACTATATGCATATAGTCCAATATATATATATATATATATATATATATACATATAAACACTTTAAAAACTACACTGAAGTGATCTTTATGCAGAATGGTGGGACATTTACATTTTAGTATTGGGCTTTCCATTGCAAAATGCATTTTATATAGGTTGAAAAAACAACAATTCACAAATATGTGAAAGGACCTCTAAAGTCATTTTTAATAATGCCAAAGTCAAAAATGATGGATACACCGTTTTGCAAATAAACTCTTCAAATTATATATTACACAAGACAACAAGCATAGCAAGCTTATGTGACATTTTGCTTTTATTTTAAATTTATGAAAAAAATATAATAAACAAGCATTGTTCCTAAACCAAAAAAGTGTAAAGAGTGAAAAAAATATAACGATATAATAAAAAAGTGGGGTACTAAAAAATCTATAAATACATGATGAACGGATATCCTTATTTGCAATCCTGTCCGCTTGCAGGGCTTCAATTCAGTTGAAGTCCTCCTGTGAAAGTTGCAGACCGGCAGTCTGACTACGTCCCTTTCCTCGCCACGTTCCTTCAAATGTGTGATCCTTANGGTTGGGAAAATTGATACGTTTTTCACGATTCCGATTATCTTATCGATTCTGTAAAACAATGAACTTGGTAAGTGCACAGTGACATCCGTCTACCTTCGCCTTGGACATTCTATTTCTGCCTGCCTCGACGAAAACAGAAGGCAGTGAACGGGAGCTGCCAGCCTCTGAGCCAGCCAGACTATCCATCTCGTCACAGCCGTCTAAATCTAACGGAGAAGGAATCTGTTTGATGAAAAAGCATTACTATACAGTTTTGGGGATATAAACTCATCTCACCCTGATTTAAATCAACGAGCGTCAACTTTCACTCACTCCCTAAACTGCGGGGCAACTTCGTAGCATGTTTAATAACCCCAAAGACAGGTAGGTAGTGGCTTTATGTCTAGAAATGACATATGATTTACTAGGAACCACATTAAGCACAGCCAGTGATATAAAACTAGCTACTTACCACCAGAGTTGCCTTCCATGCTGGTCGTAACTTTAGATTCTGTCCGAAAGCATCAAAAACACAGAATTCGTTAAAATGTATGCCATACATGCGCAGGTGTTTCTGCACATTTGATGTATTTCCGTGGATGTTATTGCCACTTTGCAAAGATTGCAAAGCGCCTTGTTGCCATCTTTCTGTTCCTTAAAATGACCCCAAACTTTCTATCACTTTGACCGTACTTGCTTACTGAATGCCGTGTGCCTAACTTGGGTAAAAAAACGTAACGTAAGTCGCGCTGCCCAGCGCTAGGCTCTGGTGCTGCCTGGACTCGATAAGAGAATCGTTAAGTGAGCTGCCAAACGGTGCCATGGAATTGGAACACACAGAACCGGTTCCTGTTCAGAACCAGTTTTCAATTCCCATCCCTAGTGACCCTGAATCTTTTAGACATGAAACAAGTACCAGTCTGTGAGTGAAAATCTATGATGATGGTAAAAGTCATGCTGTGCATCTCCAGCTATTTGAATGTGCAAACCTGATTAATAATGGTTAGAATTCTAAAGTGGGATGCTAAACAAGACTTTCAGGTATGGTTAATAAGATAAGGAATATAGTTATAATGATATTAATTACAATTAACCTATATTTTCTTAACTCTTTGTTTTCTTTGCATGGTTTTCCCCCTTATCATCTAATACTAAATGTGGACATTTCTTAGTCTGAGGTTAGTTTTGGTTCTGATACTATAAGAAGCAGTGATGGGAGTAACGGCATTACTAACGCCGTTACCTGTTTTTAGTAATGAGGTAAACTAACTAATTACTTTG